AAATCCAAATTTTCTATAAATTTTCATTAAAATTAAAAATAATAAAAATTTAAAAAGGAAGTGGAATTAAAGGGGAAAGTAGATCAAAGAAAAGGAGACGTTTCGTTGCATGCTTTAACAAACTATTTTTTAATTACTCTGCATAAAAAATATTAACTAAAATATACGTGAAAATGTTACTAAATAAATAGCATGCACATTTAAAATGACAGAATACCTAATCTGAAATCTCTCTTTAAAAATCCAGTTTCAGTGACTGAAATGTTGAGCCTGGTGAAGCTGGCTCATACAAGATCTTGCATTTCCAGGGCAGGTCTCCTGGTCTGGACAGACCGACCTTGATTGTAGAAGAAATGTGGCCATTGCTGAGGGCTGTGTCCCTTGTCACATTCCCAGGTGCCTCACTAAGGGTAGAATTCCTGTTAGATTTCAGTGGACACTAAGCCCCTGCTGGTGTAGGCTCAGCTCTCTGGGGAAGCAGTGGACAGGGGCATGAAGAGAGGCAGTGACAATGCAGGGCAGGAGAAATAGAGATGCAGGCAACCGCTGAGTGAAGCTCATGCAAAAGCTGGCAGCTTACATGATAAATTACACAGAAAGAGTCAAAAAGGATATGCCAGACTGATAAAACAAGATAAAATGCAAGCATGGAGGATTGTCAGAATGTGATTTAACAGAGGAGTGTATGATCAGGACATAGATGACATTGTAAGGTACTGTTGATTTTTCTCCAAGAGAACTGAACACTGAGGTAGTAGAAATGAGACGAACTGCTGGAGGCGGGATCTGCCAGTCACATGTGACTGGAAGGGCAGACAGCAGGGAACAGGGTGGAGGCTGAAGTCCACTAGCTCCGAGCTCTCCTGCCAGCCTCGAAGAGAGTGTTGGCCCTCTGCCTTCCAGTCCCTGCTCCACCCTGAACTTGACAGCTCTTCTAGCCTCTGCCCTCTTGCCAAGCCCTCCTCCTCACCTCAAGCCCCTTCTTTTGTATAAAAAAGCCTAACTTACTATTCTTGAGAAAACGAAATACTCATGGATTACATTGATTTCTTTTTAAATTTAGACAGAAACATGTTTCATTTATATCTGTCCTCACTTCCTCCCCAGCAGATTGGGAAGGAAGCCGAGGCTTCTCTTTCCTCTCAAGGCTCAACTCCTCCTCTTAACTGTTGTGGGCTCTGGGAGCATCTTCACAGACACCTGCTCAGTCTTCCCCTCTGCTTCTGACAACTTCAGCCTCCCTTGACTCCTCCCTTCCATCTGGAAATGAGTCTCTTCTTATGAACTCCACCATAGGCCTTCCAATTGCCCATCTCTCCTGATTCCCCATCTCTCCCACTTTCCTTTCTCAGACAGGTACCTTGGCTTTCCCTACTCGCATGTGGCAATAAGGCTTTGCCCCATCACAGCCGTTCCTGTCAAGGTCGTCCGTGACCTCCCACTTATCAAAGTGGTGGCTACTTTCCATCCTTAATTCACCCAACCTTTCCTTGCTGTTTGGCACTGTCAACGGCATCTTCTCTTAGTCCCTTGGGTACCTGACTGTCTCCCTAGCCAGGCCCTTTCAGGTCTCCTTTAGAACGAACTCCTTTTTCTCTCGCTCTTATGGTCTTAGTGTCATCCACCACTGAGCCCATGTATTGCCCTTTTCTTTCTCACTCCATACACTCTGCTGAGTGTGGATGTCGCTGATGTAACCACGGCCATGGTTTCAGATGCCAACTACATGCACATGACCATGTAAGGCACCAAGTACAGGAAGATGGCTCAAACTAAAATATGACATTTAGAATACCACTTTTCATTGAAAAATTTAAAGACTACACTGAACCTCGGGCACAATAAAATCATATACTTCAATAGGACTGTGTCATTTCTTTTTTCTATGCCTATTATTTAGCTCAGGGACTTCGGTGGTCTAGTCCATAGAGATTTGCACTCATCACCCCATAAGCAAGACCTCTTAGTGGTTGGAATCCATCAGTGTCACCACAGAAGAAAGACAGGGAGTCTCCTCCCTGTGCTAGTGAGTTTGAGGTTTTTTTAGTTATCATCTAGCGTTGTGCCCGACATAGCAAGCACTCCATAAATATTGTTGAACTGAACTAGACACTGCCAACAGGATGATTTTTCTAATAGTCAAATCTGGCTGCATCATTCTCTTGCTTAAAATGCTCCTTTGACTTTCTGCTGCCCTGAGATAAAATCCAACTTGTGTGTGTGTGTGTGTGTGTGTGTGTGTGTGTGTGTGTGTG